TATCCAATTTATAACGTTCTTTATGTGTAAGTAAATTACTCCAAATTTTGTATTAATACTTTTAAAATATTTTAAAATTTTATAATGCTCTTCATACTAAAGTACTCCAAAGTTTGTATAAATACTTTTAGAATTTAAAATTATTTTTACAGTTATGGATTGAATTTGTATGGACCATTCATGTATAAGTATCCAAAAATTAGTTTGCGTAGTCATATCGATTTATTATTTGATGTTGTTTTTTGGCACTTATTTGTGTACAAATGAATCATCACTCACTCTATGACTAGAGTGCTTGGAGTGAGTGGTGGTTCCTTTGTACACAAATAACGCATCATCAGGCCACCATTAGTATTAGTTACTACTGTGAATATAAATCTTTCAATAAGTATTTTTTTTTAATACATTAACTTATTTATTTTTTTATGAAAAATCATTACTTACTCAAAATAGGCACCATTAGTATTAGTTACTACTGTGAATCTAAATCTTTCAATAAATATTTTTTATTAATACATTAACTTATTTATTTATTTCTGAAAAATCATTACTCACTCAAAATTTATGTTATAAGATTTTTTAATACATTAACTTTCTTATTTATGTATAAAAATTTATGTTATTAGCTAGTGTTAATTTGTGGATATAATGCATAAAAAAAACTATCACTCACTCAAAATTTATATTATTTATGATATGATGTATAAAAAAACCATCACTCACTCATTTGCGTAGTCATAATTTATGTTATTAGCTAGTGTGGATATAAATATTTGAATAAGTTTTTTCGACACATTTACTTATTTTTTTATTTTGAACTCTATTTACTATTTTTCATAACTTCTATTAAAACTTAAACTCTAATTTTAAACTTGATTTTTGCAAAAATGAAATAAGTTTATAAAAAATAAGAATCTTTTTACCATTAAAGTTGAAATATAATTATTTTTTAATTAGAAATTCTTGATAATGATATAACTCAATCGGAATATAATTATTTTGAATTGAAATATAGATATATTTTTCATTAACATTGCTTGACCATGACTAATCAAATATTAATTCAAATTCATCAATATAAATCAAATATTAATCCAAATGTGAAGGGTGATGAGAGTATAACCAATAGTTAAATATTTAATTTGACAAATCTCCATTAAAACAATATTAATCAAATATACACTTCTCGTGTTATTCTCTTATGTTTCAAAAATGTCTTCCTTTGTTATTATCTACATGT